GCCTGCCTTGGCTTCCCAAAATGCTGGGATTACAGGCATAAGCCACCTTGCCTGGCTTGAACAATTATATATACATACATACATAATTGAGATACACATGATGTACAAATTATACACACATAGTTGAGATACATCTTTGTTATTAAACTCATACTCAATTCTTATGGAAGAAAAACAGCCTCAGTTTGTAGCCATAGTCTATTAAATATTAATAGAAAAAGAAAAGATACTTTGTGTGAGCTGTAGTTTGAGAAATGACTGACCATCCTTATCTTTGTATTCATGTTTATACACATCAACTTTTATGTCTAAAATTGTAGGTAACTTGCAATTGAATGATAAACTATTAGACTGTCGTATCCAAGTTTTACAACATTTAACAGTGACTGATCTTTCAATTTCTAATACAGGAGCTGAACAATCTTTTGAACAGCTTCTGCCAGAATGCTCTTCACAGGAGGGTAGCCAGCATGCTGATCTACCAAGTATTTTTAGCATTGAAGCAAGAGATTCTTCCCAAGGCATGAAAAATCAGAACTTTCCCTCTGAAGAACATACTGAAATATTACAAAACAGGAAGAAAAGTGTTCATTTCCAGCTTTCTGTAGGAAATTTAAGTTCAGTCTGTAGTTCATCTGATGAAGCTAATGTATTTGATCAGTTAAATGTTCAGCATACCACTCCATGTGGTTCTAACTGTAGTGAGTGCTCAATAAAACACCAACTAGAAAGCAGAACGCAAAGGATGGGCTTTGAAGAACTACCAAAAAGAGGGGTTGTTACGTTACAAAGTCAAGGACTCACTGAAGATAATAAAAATGAAAGCTGTAGGGTTTTAGACATACATCCACAGGCAGAGGAAACGGATTCTCGATTCTGTGTAAGAACAGCGGAGATGGGAACTTCAGTTCAGGCACCATATTCCTTAACTACTCAAAAATATTCTGAGAATTCAACTGAAAGAGACATTCCAAAAATCACCAATAAACTATCTGAAAAAGAACATTTGGAGCTTTTTGCAAGTTCTGGATCATTTTCATTGCAGACCTCTATACCAGTCTGGGTAAGTGAAATCAGTGTTGTATAACATTAAAGTTCCTTTTTGGGAAAATTATTTTCTTTTAATATTAGAGATGAGGATCTCGCTGTTACCTGGGCTGAATTCAAATTCCTGGGATCAAGGGGTCCTCCTGCCTCAAATTCCTAAGTAGCTTGGACACACAACATGCCTGGCAAGAAAAAATTGAAATACAAGCAAAACTTAAATATTCCCATCAAGCTTGTGATTACTGCAAATACCTAGCAAATCGAAGAAACCTAAAATTTTGAAAGCTGTCTTGAGAGTATTTTAAAAAGATCCTTTCTCCAACACCCCTGAAAAATGGTGGCTCTGCCTATGATTCAGCACTTTTTCAGTGTTGAGCCTCATTGCAGTGCACTGAATTCATCCATTATTGGAATAAGTACTGTTATTAACACTGTTCCTCATACCAACCAACTCAAGTTTATCCTTCCACAAATAAATGTAACACATCTGTTTGGCTGCTTTTGTTCTCATTCAGTGTTTAGCAGTCAGTGGTTCCCATTTGGTAGCCACCCAGGGATATCCACTCCAGTTCTGCACAGCTCCAGCCAACCTGTATTTATTTTTGCCAAACACTACAAGCATTTAGGTTTGTAATCAGTGTCATACTATTTCACCCCCCTCCCTAACGTTGGCTCCAGTATTTCTAGAACTAAATGTTGGAGTTAGGGAAGCCTAAATGAAATCCCCAACTGTTGCTTGTTTTCCTCCATTAATGTACATTTTCACATTTATGTACACTTGTGCAAATTGTGCATTATATACAAAATGAATATGTAGGGCTTTTTTTTAACTGTTTCAAGGCTACTTTAATTTGACATGGTTTTCCTTTTAATTGTGCTTCACAGGAAACAGAATCTGGCCATGGTATAATGGAAGAGCCAGAACTTACTTTAGTAAGCACCAGTGATATCAGTATTGCTGAAACAGATTTTGCAAATTTAACCTTAGAAGAAAAGGGAGAGGATGAAGCAAAAAGCTGTTCACAGGTAAATTTAATCATTCCTTATATTTTAGCCCATTATGAGCAAACCAGTTGACTGTCTCTTATCTGATAACTTCAATTATCAGATGTTACTTACTGGAAGGGATTATGCTATGTACTTAAAATTTAGTTCAGGGCTCCAGTTTAGTAGACACTTTAAGACCTGACACCCCCCACCAGCTGTCATTTGTCTTAAGGCTTCATCTGTCAATGACTGTGCATTTTCTTTTAATCCGCACTGCAATTTATGCAAGACTCTGGCAGACCTAATTTAGTTATACAACTAGTGTTACGGTGCCAAGTTGGAAATTTTATCTAAACATATTCTAAGATACTGCAAAATGGCTTTGGAACTGCTAATTTTACAAGGGTAGTTAGGGAGGCAATAAGAGGAATAAAATCATTGAATTTTCTCATGCTACCTAAACAGAGGCCTAGAGGTGTGAGGGCAGTGGAGGGTGAATTGTGTGAGCCCAGGAGTTCAAGACCACCCTGGGCAACACGACAAAACCCCATCCCTAAAAAAATACACAAAAATTAGCTAGGTGTGGTTTAGCTGTAGACCAAGCTACTCGGAATATTTAAGCTGCAGTGAGCCGTGATAATGTGACTGCACTCCAGTCTGACAACAGAGCAGGCCCCCTTTTAAAAAAAATGTGTTATTTAAAAAAATGTAATAAAACTTTATCATTAGGTGAGTGAGTTTCTGCCTCTTGTATCAGAAACAGAAGGCTCAGATTATCCAGCTGTATCAGAACTTTCCATAGAAAAACCAAAGACAGCATCTACAGGTAAGCCTTTTATGGGCTCCACACTTCCAATATAAAGTAAACACTTTGCCTATTCCTGTCGTTAAGTTTTTTCTCCCAACAGAAAGTCCTCCAAGGTTTACACCTATATCCGGGAGCTTACAAGAAGCGTTTATAAACAGAAAAAAAACATTTATGGAGAGATCCCACCAGAGGCAAAAAGAAATAACAATCAAAGAGAAACCATCTATAGGTATGTTGAATTTTTTAAATCTTCACCACCGCCCTGAAATGTTTAAAGCCTGATTATAACTTGATTTCACATTTCTTTCCTCAGGTTCATCAGTGAGTCATCTAAGGGGTGTGAATAAAGTCAGAGCACTTCCTGAAGACAGAAAGACTACACAGGCTCTCAGGCACCAAAGGAGTCTAAGGTATTGTTGGTTTTTGCAGCGAGTCATGTTTTCTGCAATGTTTGTCTCTAACTCTATAGAAATTCTTTATAGGTTATATAATCAACTAGCTGAAGTGAAACAACAAAAGGAAGAAAAAGCAAAACAAGCAGCTTATGCCCAAAACAGAGCAAGGGCAAAGGAATTCCATAAGGTGAGTATAACTTAGGGGGAGAAACCTAATTTTAAGCCTGAAATACACAACTGTAACTGCAAAATTTTTATTCCTTCCACAGAAAACATTAGAGAAACTTCGAGCCAAAAATACATGCTGACTTTTAGAAACAGTGTAAAGAGTTTTTTTTTAATTGTGTATATTTAAAGTCAATAAATTTTTATTCAAGGAATTCCATGTTGTGATTTCTTCCACTGTCCATCAAAGTCACTTTAGATCCTCTAAAGAGCTGCAAGTTAGCCCTTTTTAATGAAGCTGATGCTTACTTTAATCCAGTTGTCCTGTCAGCCCATTAATTTATTTTGGCTTCTGTCATCTCCTTTTAATATGGATATACTGATGAAGACTTCAAAATTCACCTTTTTATTGTAGGTGGTGGATCTGCCTGGTTCTCAATTTGACACCCTTTCAACATGAATGAGTTCAAATCATATTCATTCCTAAGCAGTCACACTCAAGAATAGTACAGGTGTGGAAATATGCCAATACCTAAGGTGAAAAAGTAGATTATCAGGTCTTTCATACATTTAGTAGCTGTCATTTTTAAACTTTTAGCAGCTGTCTTGCCATTCCTTTCCACAGATCTAACAATAGTCCTGTGAGTAAGGTAAACCACAGAGTTACTCTATGAGGCGTTTCCAACGACGTGCAGGCTACAGGAAGAGCCCCGTCGGGATAGACCTCAACTAAATTGTGTATTCTTGTTAAGATTTCGTCAAACCTTTTTTCAAAGTTCTTAGTTTCTTTGCATTGGGTTAGAACAAGTTCTTTTAATTCACAGAAGTTTCTTATCATCCACTTTTTAAAGCCTGCTTCTGTTAATGGAACACAGTCTTTTTTTTTTTTTTTTTTTGAGACGGAGTTTCGCTCTTGTTACCCAGGCTGGAGTGCAATGGCGCGATCTCGGCTCACCGCAACCTCCGCCTCCTGGGTTCAGGCAATTCTCCTGCCTCAGCCTCCTGAGTAGCTGGGATTACAGGCACGCGCCACCATGCCTGGCTAATTTTTTGTATTTTTAGTAGAGACGGGGTTTCACCATGTTGACCAGGATGGTTTTGATCTCTTGACCTCGTGATCCACCCGCCTCGGCCTCCCAAAGTGCTGGGATTACAGGCGTGAGCCACCGCGCCCGGCCAGGAACACAGTCTTTCTCCATCAGGCCTTGTTCCGTTGCTGATGAGGAACTGTGATCCCCTGTGGAGGGAGAGGCGTTCTGATTTTGGGTATTCTCAGCCTTTTTAGGCTGTTTTCTTCCCTTCTTTATAGGTTTGTCCATCTGTGGTCTTTATAATTACCGTCTTTATAGCTGGGTCTCTGAGTGCACGTCCAACTTGTTGATTCCCGGCGCTAGAATCTGAGCAACCCACTGCGCCGGCCAAAGCAGCGGCGTTAAGATTGATGGTGCTTTTCTGACTCTGCACCAAGAACCGCCGCACCAAGGCAGGAGCAAAACCGCCTCACCGGCCACAAGAGTCGCGCTGGCGACCCGTGGGGCCCCTCCGCTTGGAATCTCCTGGTGCGTCAGCAACAAAAATTCGTCTGAAAGTGTGGCGTCCTCTCGTTCTCTGCGCTTTCACTGGGAGCTACAATCCCGAGCTGCTAGTGATCAGCCGTCTTGGGTCAAGGATAACTTTTTAAGTAGTTAGCCACCCTGTAGACATAAACTTGAATAACTGTGGATAAACCTTGTAGACGTAAACTTGAAGAGCTGTAGATAGACGAATGGCTGTTTATATAATTTAATTTACCAACCTGATTGCACAAATCTTAAAAATCACAAATAAAATAACATAATTACATAACATAACGGTGTATTAATTCATAAATATTGCTTTTCTCCTTCTGTTTACTTGTCATGAAATGGTTTTCTTAACTCTTCCCAGAAATCCTTAGCATATACGTTTTAGTTTCCATCCATTTTGAAAATGTTATAAATTATAGAAAAGTGGAAGTAATAAAACATTTTCTACATTTCCATCATCCAGATTCAATGTTAAGTTTTGCTACATATTCTTAATATATTCTTCCTTTCTTTGTTCTTTATTCTTTTTTTTTTTTTTTGAGATGGAGTCTCACTCTGTTGCACAGGCTGGAGTGCAGTGGTGTGATCTTGGCTCACTGCAACCTCTGCCTCCTGGGTTCAAGCGATTCTCCTGCCTCAGCCCCCCAAATACCTGGGACCACAGGCATGTGCCACCACATCTGGATAATTTTTGTATTTTCAGTAGAGACAGGGTTTCGCCATGTTGACCATGCTGGTCTTGAACTCCTGACCTCAGGTGATCCGCCCGCTTCAGCATCCCAAAGTGCTGGAATTACAGGCGTGAGCCACTGTGCCTGGCCTGAAGAAGTATTTTAAAGCAAATCCCAGACATTATGTCATTCCACTGTGCATGATGACACTTCAGTGTGCAACTGTAAAAAAATTTCCACAATGCCCTGATCATGCCTAACAACATGAAGCATTATTCTTTGGAATAATTTAATGTTCTGCCATAATCAAATTTTGCTAATTGTCTCCAAGTGTCTTTTTATGACTGCTTTGTTCAAATCAGGATCCACACAAAGTCCTCCCACCACAGTCACAATTGTGTGGTGATTTTTTTTTCATCTTTTTAGAAACTGATGTTTATTTTCCATCAAACATATTTCCATGTTGCTTAAGAGCCCGTGCAAGAACAGGATGTTTTAAAAATTGTCTTTTGAGCCACTTTTATTCCAAAGTCATTCCTTTCTTTGTTTTTCGTTTGTTCCATCTTGTTGCCTTGATGCAGAAGTAGGGCCTGTTGTCTGGTAGAATTCCCACATTCTGGAATTTTCTGTTTGGTGCCTTGTGCTGTCATTTAACTAGCTTCTCTGTCTCCCTCTTTCCTGTAAATTAGCCATCAAGGCTTGAGTAGATTCAGGTCTAACTTTTTATTATTTATTTGAGACAGAGTCTCACTCCATCACCCAGGCTGGAGTACAGTGGTGCAATCTCCTCTCACTGCACCCTCTGCCTCCCAGGTGCAACTGATTCTTGTGCCTCAGCCCCCTGAGTAGCTGGAATTATAGGCACGTGCCACCATGCCCAGCTGATTTTTGCATTTTTAGTAGAGGTGGGGTTTCACCATGTTGGCCAGGCTGATCTTGAACTCCTGACCTCAAATGCTCCACCTGCCTTGGCCTCACATAGTGCTGGGATTACAGGCATGACCCACCACACCCAGGCCCAGTCTAATTTAAAAAAATTTATTATTGTCATTATTATTTTTTAGAGGCAGGATCCCATTCTGTCACCCAGGCTAGAGTGTGGTGGTGTGGTCATGGCTCACTGCAGCCTCAAACTCCTGGGCTCAAGCAATCCTCCTGCCTCAGCCTCCCAAGTAGGTGGGACTATAGGCATGTAACACCATACCTGGCTAATTTTAAAATTATTATTGTTGTGATTATTGAGACGGAGTCTTGCTCTGTCGCCAGACTGGAGTGCAATGGCACAATCTAGGCTCATTGCAACCTCCGCCTCCCAGGTTCCAGTGATTCCCCTGCCTCAGCCTCCAGAGTAGCTGGGACTACAGGTGCACGCCACCATGCCCGGCTGATTTTTTATATTTTAGTAGAGACGGGGTTTCACCATGCTGGCCAGGATGGTCTCAATCTCTTGACCTTGTGATCTGCCCGCTTTGGCCTCCCAAAGTGCTGGGATTACAGGCATGAGCCACTGCACCCGGCCTTAATTATTTTTTTTATAGAGACAGTCTCTTGCTATGTTGCCAAGGCTGAGTTCGAAATCCTGGGCTCAAGTAGTCCTTGAGCTTTGGCCTCCCAAAGTGCTGGGATTCCAGGCATAAGCCACCATGCCTGGCACTGATCCAACTTTTTTTGTTAGGTGCATTTCACAGGTTTTGCTGAGTGCTTCTGGGAAGTCACATCGTAGGAGCGCTTGGTGGGTTTGCATGGCAGCAATCTGACTTCACGTTTGTGAAGTTCCCTATCAGCCTTCCAAGTAATGGTTTTTCCTTTGAAGATCTCTGAGTCATTGATTTCATTAGAGGTTGTAAAATAATGCATTTCTATCATTCTTTCTACATCTGTGAGCTGGAATTCTGTAAACAAGATTTCCCTACATCATCCAAGGTTATGTGGTTACCTGAAAATATAGTTCACTGAGGAAAGGCAGGATAGAGCTTATTTCCTTTCTTAAAATACTACAACTTTATTGAGATATGATTCACATACATACAATTCATCCTTGTAGAGTGTACAGTTCAGTGGTTTTTAGTGTATTCACAGAGTTGTGCAACCATCACCACTAATTTCATAACAGTTTCATTATACCCAGAAGAAACTCCATGCTCATTAACAGACACTTCCCATTCCTTCCTCCCCTTCCAGCTCCTGACAACCTCTAATCTGCTTTATCTCCATGAATTTGCCTATTCTGGGCACTTCATATAAATGGAAGCATACGCCATATGGTCTTTTGTGACTGACTTATTTTCCTCCCCTCCCCTGCCCTCTCCCCTCCTCTCTTCTCCCCTTCCCTTCTCTGACATGATCTCACTCTGTTACCTAGGCAGGAATACAACTGGCAGCTGGCTACCTCAGCTCACTGCAACCTCCCACTCCTGGATTCAAGCAAATCTCCTACTTCAGTCTTCCGACTAGCTGGGATTACAGGTGCATGCCTTCACACCCAGCTAATTTTTGTATTTGTAGTAGAGATGGGTTTCACCATGTTGACCAGGCTGGTCTCGAACTCCTAACCTTAAGTGATCTACCAACCTCAGCCTCCCAAAGTGCTGGAATTACAGGTACTGTTCCTGGCCACTTGATTTTCAAAGTTCATTGACACTGTGGCACATGTCAGTACTTCAGCATTTTTTATTGCCAAACATATTCCATTGTATGAATACACCACAGTTCATTTTTCAGCTGATAAACATTTGGGTTATTTTCACTTTTGCTATTATGAATAATACTCCAATGAACATTTGTGTAAAGGTTTTTTTGGTTTTGTTTTGTTTTTGAAATAGGGTCTTACTCTGCCACCCAGGCTGGAGTGCAGTGGCGCAATCTCGGCTCACTGCCACCTCTGCCCCCTGGGTTCAAGCAGTTCTTGTGCCTCAGCCTCCCGAGTAGCTGGGACGACAGAAATGCACCAACACAGCCCAGCTAGGGTTTTGTAC